AATTGTAGCATTTTGCTGTACACATAACATTCTCCACTCTTACAGAGCGCTTTAATCTTTTTCAGCCATGATTCTTCTGATGTAAGTGTCAAATTAGTATATTCTTGTGTTGGATTGTGTTCAAATATTTGGTTTAAAAACAGCTGTCTGAGGGCCATAGGAGGAGATGAGGACAGAGGGTGGGGTTGGGAGGGGAGGAGGGAAGGGACTAAAGCTGGGATACTAAGTGAATAAACTGTAACTAATATAAAAAATAAAAATTTAATTAAAAAATAGGCAAATAAAAAACAAAACAAAACAAAAACTACTGTCTGGCTGGGTATGGTGGCTCACGCCCTTAATCCCAGCACTCAGGAGGCAGAAGCAGGTGGATTACTGTGAGCTCGAGGCCAGCATGGTCTACAAAGCCAGTCCAGGACGGCCAAGGCTACACAGAAACCCTGTTGTGAAAACCCAAAAAACAAACAAACAAACAAAGCAAAAAAAACTGCTGTCTGCATTGATGGCTTGAATTTAATTAAAAAATAATCATTAAATGATTCCTGTAACTCCAGAGTTAGATGGGTCCAGAGACTGACAGGTGTCTGAAGCTCACTGGCCAGCAAATCTAACCCAATAAGTGAGATTTAGGTTCATTCATAGAGACCCTGTTTCAAAGGAATACAGGAAGATAGCAGATGACAGCCTCTGGCTGCTAACCCCCCTCCCCCCACAAACACACAGACACGTGCACACTCCCAAACTAACAAGTATATACTCCGCCTGCACACACAAGATCACAAAATGAATTTTGGCTTGAGACTAACACAGAATTTCCAATTTTATAGTTATTTATAAAAAGTGCTAGGCATACCTCTGCCATTTTGTATTATTCACTTAAGGGAAGCAACATTCTCAGCATTGATAATTGCACAACCAAAATATCAGTCACCTCTGTTGGGGATGTTTTCCTGCTTCAGAGTCAAACATTTAATTCTTAATGTAAAAGATAAAAACGCATATCTATTTAGTATACAGATTTATTTTCATCTTCAATAAATGTTAAAATTAGGCTGGAGAATGGCCCAGTTTGTAAAGGCTTGCCACAGAAGTATGAAGACCCGAGCCTGACCCCAGAACCTTAAGAAGCCTAGCATGGTGCCCTACTCCTGTAATCCCAGTGCTGAGGAGGCAGAGTCAGGGCCATCCTTAGGGATGGCTGGCCAGTTAAGTCTGGCTGAAGCAGCAAGGGGCTCCAGGTTCAGAGAGAGACCCTGCCTCAATAAGAGAACAATAATAAGATGAAGGGTGACGGACAAAGACATACAACATCTTCTAGCCTCTAGTGCTTGTACA